TACTTTATCGGTGTTAGGTAGATAAATTAAATCTTTTAATTTACTTTTCTAAATTAATATATCGATTACATCATCTGAAGTGTTTCTCATATTATCCATACAGATATACCATTATGAGGGCTAGAATGACGTCTTAGAAGACAAGTGTTTACTTGTCACTCCTATAGGTCTTTTTTTAGCAGCGTTTTTATGTATTTTTTACTGTTTCATCAAAAGCAAAGATACATTCCCACCTTAGCTGCAGTTAGTGAATAGTGTATTTAAGTTTGTTTATATCTTTCCCTACATTACAAATGAGACTTTCAAATACACAGAAACTCTGATAGACAGTGTATTCCCCACATATTTGTGTATTCCATACTTTCGTGGATAATTATCCTATTACAATACATTCTACCATTTCAACACTGTAATTTGTACATTGTTTTTACTTTCTAACCCACACGTGCAGCTCCATTTGTTTTGGGCCTAATTATTTCAAATTGCATATTTCGTATAACGTAAAAATAGGCGTGAAATTTCTATTATGAACCTGTGCGAAACTACACGAAGTAAACTATCTGTGAGAAGAAAAATAAAGCAGCCTAATAAATGGGTCGGTAAAATCCTACAGTAAGCTTCTTAATGTTTGTAATTGGAACAGTTGTACACGCTATTATGTGTGTCAAGTTATGGGAACATTATTACCTGCCTGCTCGATGACTAACCAAGAAAGTTTGAATTGGGCGAATGTAACAAAAAAACGTTCGGAAACCCTGGAAACTTTTCTTCATTTTTAGAGTAATCTCTCACCTGTGTTTTCACATTTAATGTATGTTTGTTGTTTCTTCTACAATAAGGAAGTAGTACGTTCTGAGCAAGAAACCATGTTATATATATATATATATATAAACTCAATTACTACTACAATTACTTTTATTAGCGAAAACCTTTTACTAACTATAATACTTACACCAAACAAATTGACCCATAAGATAGTTTTAGTTCATTCACAGAGGATTGTGGTAAAGATTAGAACATCAAGAGCAGAAAATGTTCGGAGCAATTTTCGTGCTTTATGTACATATAGTAAAAAAAGATAGGATTAGCTCTGTTGTCTTCGGCATGAGAAAGAAGAAAGATTCTTTCTGCATATCATCCATCACATACATTTTTTTAAACTACACCAATGTAACATATTATCACATCTCTACACCACTAAGATTTATGGCTTGTTAATTTCGCTCTTCACCAGAAGATGAAGATATAGATGGGAACTAGCCACGTGCTACACGAACCGGTTTAGGCATGATTCACACTTGATCCCTCCTTAGACAGAAATGAGATAAGTCAGTCGGGTGGTGTCCTATTGGTATGCTAATGTCGCCCGTCTGTTAGATTCTGTGTTACCATTCCAGCCTCGAACTCAATAAAATACTGATTAAAGAAGATCAAGTGAGCTCAATTTAGAATCAAAAATGAATTTCCGAATCTATCAAAGGGCCGGATGTTCGCAATCTGGTATTGTTGTAAAAGGAAGGCCATTCGTCATAGATTAAACTACTCTCCCGATATTTAAGTAGATCGAGCGGCGTAATTCTGTTCACTTAATAATTAGATCGAAAGATAGTGAACGGAAACGCATTATTCACATTTATAGGGAAAACAAAACATTTTAAATTTGTTGTGGTTGCTTTCTTTTCAAAAACAAATTGTTCTAAAATTATTAACTGTATCACAATATTAAGAGATTTTACCATACACAGCAAGAATGCACTATAGCACCAGAACCAGAAGACTACGTAAAAATGCCCCACGTGACTGGTTTATGATAGAAATGGTTTATACCTTAAACCCCCACACACAAAAAGACTAAAACCGGGAAACACCAGAAAAACGCCCCACGTGACTGGTTTATGATAGAAATGGCTTATACCTTAAACCCCCCACACACAAAAAGACTAAAACCGGGAAACACCAGAAAAACGCCCACGTGACTGGTTTATGCTAGAAAGAGTTTATACCATAAACACACACACAAAAAGACTAAAATGGAGAGACATCAGAAAAACGCCCCATATGACTGGTTTACAATATTATCACGTTGGTTATTACGAATGTGTGTTTAACACAGATGTCTTCATTTGGAAATGATCTAAGACCTGGTTTGTTCGTGTTAGTTTTTGTATTTATATAAAATAGATAATTAATTAACAGTTATTCCCTCTAGATTTTTTTTTTCATAATGTCGCAGACGGTCTATCTCTCGAAGAATACAATAATTATTCACTATAAAACTTCCATTACTAAACATATTACGGGATAAACATAATACCTGTTTGTTCTTAATTCAGCATTGTTGGCTACATATTAAAACCTTTTATAGTATCTGAAGCCTTTGTTGATTAAATATATATATATACTGCACATACGGATGTAGTCGTTCAAACTAGCCTCTGCTGCATTAGCATATACTAAAGTTATGGATGTTAAATAAGCTTTTGTTAAATAAGTATACTGAAATTACGGATGTCGTCGTTTAAATTAGACTTTGTTTGCTAAATATATACTGGAATTACGGATGTCGTCGTTCAAGCTAATCTTTATTAAATACTTAAAGTAGAATTACGTGCGTAGTCGTTCAAACTAGTCTTTTTTGAATAAATATACTAGAATTATGGATCTCACTGTTGAAAACAACCTTTGTTGAATAAATATATGTACTGTAATTACAGATGTCATTTTTTAAACTAGCCTTTGTTACATAAGTATAGTGGAATGTCGTCTTTAAAACCGTGCAAGTGATAAAATTACGAGAAGGAAGTGCTATGTCTGTTGTTTTATCTTACAGTAATCACAGACAATAGAACTAGTCTAGAACTTTTAGAAAACTTATTCGAACAAAAGATTCTTGTGGAGAAGAAAGTTTGTTAGACAGTAATTAGAAACCTGTACTTCAACTTCTATACAATAACACGGCCTCCTGTCATGTAAACATGTGAAAAGGAATGTGACTTTGGATATTGTGATATATTTCGCTGCTTCTTTAAGCTTGTTTATTGTGTGTTTTCTAAGCCAGCACTTCAATAATGTGTTAACTTCCCAAATATATCTCGTCAAAACATTCACTTCATTTAGTTTCCAAAGTAAAATATTTACATTGCCGAGCAAGTAGATTTTTTTTTTTTTGTTACTTTTACCCGATCTTAAATTTTCACAATATAAATAATCTTTACTGGAGATCGTTGACAAAGAAGATCGAGTCATTTAAGTTATAAACAATATCTTAATTGTTACACTAAATTATTAGTATTTTTGTTTAAAACACCTGGAGTATGGTGATTAATCCAACAACTCTACTGTATTTCAGATACTTCTCATATTTTTATCCAACCAGTTTTTTTTTCCCACATACCGAAAATTATCCTATTAGTATAAAAATTAAATAATTTTGTTTTATTAATAACCAAGTAAAAGAACATAATTCAGAAATATTACAAAAAGTGCTAACTCTATAGATCTTCTTAAATGTTTTCTTACATAATATTATATTCAGATTATATAACATCGATTACATAAGTGTGTGAAAATTTACTTAACGCTTTATAATTATTATATATTCAAACTAGTTTTTCAGTCGGAAAGAATGTAAAGGGCAATTCAAAATACTCCATATTTGAATTACACAGTTGAATTGTGAGAGTGATTTCATATTTTTCATTTTATTTTAAGGGATTATTTTAATATATCATAAATTTCGGTTTAAATATATTTTTTCGAAAAAAATATTTCTTCAAAAAATCTTACACTTCATTTTGCTAAAAGTAGTTAACGGGACTCACGTGTTTAAGAAATTCTGTGTTATAGGGTAATATAAACACTTCAATTGTTCTATTTTATTCTATGTTATAGGGTAATATAAACACTTCAATTGTTCTA